TGTGCTGTAAGGGGGCTCGGGTGGGGACGTGGTGGGAGGCGGGGGAATGTCCTCGGAACCAGGCACAGACAGGCTGCGGCTGAACTTCATGGTTGGGGGGGCCAAGTAAGGTCTGTCATCTTCTGCAGCCCCTGGGAAGACACAGAGGATCCAGGAATGGGGCGGGGTGGGGGTCTCCCTGCTCCCCTATTCCACAGAACTACAACATCGGTAAAACAATGGCACCCATATACGTAAGAAGACCTTCACTTGGATTAGTCCAGAGCTTCCCCAGCTAAGGTAAATCCCAATGAGCTTGACAGAGTAACACAGGCTGTGCACTGCGCAGCAGCCAACAGCACAGGGAGCTAAGGGGGCTGGGGTGAAATCCAAATTCACCTGAACTTCCACCCCAGGCCAGGAGGGGGCGCCGTTTCTAATTCACACAGCGGCACAGTGTAGGCTGGTGGTGGTGGCTTGGGGTGAGCAAAAGTGGCTTGAGCCAGGAAGAGATACCACGTTTATGTGCACAGTTACAGATTTCTTTTCATGTGCAGGCAGAAAAGAAACGCAATTAGCACATCAAACCTGGGATTTCACAGACAGGACTGCTCAAGATGAGGCTGATGTTTACAAGAGGGGGCCGATGGATAGGCATGCGATGTGTGCATTTTAAAGTGGCTGACAGGTGACGGTGAGACATAGGCAGACCTCACAGGTGCAAGGCACACCCTGGTAGACTGGACACTGGAAGTTCAGGAAAAACTAGATCCAATTAGTAAAGCGACTCCGAGAAGACTGGAGGAGTGAAGTCTTTGGCCTACTTATCAACTGTCAGGGCTCATCAGTCTTTGACCCTCTTCTCAAGCCTCTGGCTACTCTCTCTCCCTTGACGTGTCACAGCTTCATTCATTACTTGTCTGCTGGAGACTCCCACCTTTCTCCCGGGCCCAATCCTCTCCCCTGAGCTCCAGGCTCCTGTATCTAAATGCCACATCCACTCAATGTCTCCCTGGCATCTCAAACTCAGCAGGCCCCCAGGTGAGCTTCTCGTTTTCTCCTGCCCCTGGTCTCCCCATAGTAGCAAATGGCAGCTCAGTCCTACCCCAGGGCCTTTGCACTGGCTGCTTCTGCTGCCTGGAATGCCTTACCTCTGGCTGTCTCCATGGCTCCCTGCTTCATCTGCAAGTTTCAGCCCAAACATGCCAGCACTTGTGATCTCTCTTATCCTACCCCACTTTTTCTATTTTTTTTCTTGCTATATTTGACATACTATATAACTTTCTTGTTTTTTATCCTTATAGTATGTTGTCTGTCTTCCCCTCATGTAAGCTCCATGAGAGTGGGACCTTTAGTCTGTTTTGTTCACTGACCTATCCCCTGCAGTCTAACCTGGCATATGGTAGTACTCAATAAACACACATTGAATGAATGAATGAATGATAAGAGAGAAGGAACCAAGATCTGTGGTGCAGACAATGTACTGCATCTGGGCAGAGGCAGTAATCGCCCCATTTTCTAGATATGGAGCCCTAGGCCCAGAGAAATAAAGCCACCTGCCCCAGGTCACAGAGCTGGGGTGGACAAGAGTCAGGATCCCAACCCAGGTTTGCCCAGCAGCAAAGCCTGAGCTCTTTGCCCAACTTCAAGGAACTGTGGTCACATGTGGAAGTAGAAAAGAACATTCCCAGGACCCCTAGTTTCTGCTGTAAACTCATCCTTGCAGCCTCCCCTTCCCCTGCCGCCATCCCTGACACCCCCACTTTGGATGACATACCGATAGATTTTTGCCGGAGCATGAGCCCGGGTCCTGGAGGCAGGTAAGAAGGCCGTTCGTAACTTGGCTGCGAGCGATGGTGGGGGTCGAAGCTCGACTTCAGGGTGACAGGGAGGAGAGAGAAAAGGCAGCAGAGAAAGAACAGTCAGGGCAGGAAGAGTTAGGCTTCGTGCCTGGCCAGCCCCCATCCTACTCCAGGCCTTGGCAGGGAGGGAGAGGGGCCTGGAGGAGGTGGAAGGGAATTCTAGTGGAGGGAAAGGTTTCTGGGTTCGGGCAGTGGGGAGAAGGAAAGGAAAAGAAAGATTTTCAGTCAACCCTGTTTGCTCTGCTTCCCATGCTGATCACTCATCTGGGGACTTTTCTCCGTTCCTGCTGTCGCTGCCCAGGTCCAAGTCACCACCATCGCCTGCCTGGTCGGCTGCAGTAGCCTCTTCCCTTGTCTCCCTGCTGCCACCTTTGTTCCCCCAACCCCCTCTGGTCTGCTTTCCACACAAAGGTCAGAGGAATCTTTTAAAAAACTAATTCAGGCTCTGGCTGGTGTGGCTCAGCTGGTTGAGTGTCCCAGGCACCCAGAGGACAGCAGTTCAATTCCCATCAGGGCACATGTCGGGCTGCAGTCTCCATCCCCAGTAAGTGTTGTGCAGGAGGCAGCTGATTGATGTTTCCCTCCCTCCCTCCCAAATCAATAAAAACATATGTAAAAATAAAGAAAACTCAGAAGGGGAAAAAATATAATCAACCCAGATAATACTCATCTTTGTATCAACACAGTCATAAAATACAGATTTTTAAACTTTTTTTTTTTTTGGAGGTAGGGACAAAATTGCCAAGGCCCATGAAAGTCATGGGTAATGGCTTGAGGACAGCAACGTTGTTGGTCTGGTTCCCGGCTGGGCTCCCAGTCCCTGAACAGGGCTCGGTGCTCTATCAGCTCCCGTCAAACGAACCCGTGACTTGAGGGCCAACATCAGGCGCTGTTATCTGGGTTTCTCTTATATACAACAGAACCCATTTCCACCAAATCCCCCCCAAATGTAAAATTTTTTAGGGAAGTGACCTTTGACTGGTTCACTCCTACACCTCCAGGGCCCAGCAGCAGGGCTAGCACATAGTAGGTGCTCAAGAAATATTTGTAGAGCGAAAGACCAATTGGAAGTGACACAAGCTCAGGACAACATAGGGGGAGCATCCTGAAGGCAAAAGCCGAGTCCTGTTCCCCTGAACGTCCCCATGAACCAGCCCCAGCCCCAAGGAGGCGTCAGGAAGCGCCCTGAAGCGATGCCCGTTTTGGCTGGTTCCCCCCTTCTGATCGCTGAGCAGGATTCTCAGCCTGCCAACTCTTCTTGCCTTCTCCTTAGGCCCTTTCTCCCTAAGCCTCAGCCTGACTCCCTGCTTGGTTTTCCATCCTGTCCCGTGGCTCGTGATGATCTATGTGGTGTCAGGGAGCAGGACCCTGCAAAATTTTCATGAAAAGAGGCTGGAGGACCAGAGGAGAAGGGTCATGTCCTAGGTCAGCCAGTAAGTAAGGGAGTGCAGAGCCGTTGTAGAGAACAGACTGGAGTGGCTAGAAAATGCTAAGAGTGGGTAAGGAGAAGGGTTATGGAGAGCGACGAAAAGGGATGTGACGATCAGAAAGGATGCAGGGAGCACCGAGGGGCAGAAGCAGGCTGGAGAGGACGCTGAGGAGAGTCCAGGCTGGGTACTGGGGGCAAGGGGATGGCTGGGAGGAGGGAAGGGAGGTGCCGGAGGCATCCTGCACCAGGTGTGGGGGTCAACTGCTGCGGGAGGGGTCAGAGGGGCAGGAAAGGGGGCAGCGGCAGTGGCGGAGGAGGGGCGCTCTTAACTGAAGAGGGCACGGAGTGAAGGGGAGGCATCCGAGTTGCAAACTGACCGCGAGCACTTTGAATTGGAAGGGATTAAATAATGGGTTAGCTTGATGTGAGGAGTCAGAGCGGCAGAGGAGCCAAAATAGTCTCTGAAGAGGCAAACTGGCTGCTTCAGGGGCAGACGGACCCAAGGTGGGACAGGCTGACCATCAACAAAGCAACAGCCCCACAGCACCCTCTCCCGCGGAGGCGGCAGCCAATCGGAGCGCGCCTGGTGCACGTGACGTCACTAGCTGCGGGGCAGACTCCCAGCCAGCGAGCGTCCAGAGGTCCAGCTCCTGGGCCACCCCGTGGGTGGTCTGAGGGTCTGGCGCCTCAGTGACAGAGTAAGTGCCCTGGTGCTGAACAGGGGCTGGGAAATTCGCGCCAGGGCAACAGCCCCTGAAAGGGGTCAGAGGAGAGAGAGTGGAGGGGGGGACAGATGGACAGACAGAGATAAAGAGAGAGAGATGGAAGAAAGAGAGAAATGGGGGAGACAGACACAGAGATTCCGGTCCAGAGAGGAGAGAGATTGAGACAGGAAGGGAAAGAAGACAGCGATGGGGAGGAAAAGGGACCCGATGAGGCAGGGAGAGGAAGTCAGACCCGAGAGGCCCTGGAATGGAGGGGGCTGAGACAGAGGCAGGGAATGCAACCAAGAGAGTGTGATAAAAACAATCAGAGGGAGCCCGGCTGCTGTGGCTCAGCAGTTGAGCGTGGACAAAATGAACCAAGAGGTCACCAATTCGATTCCCCTTCAGGGCACATGCCCGCCTGCGCTCTGGATCCCCAGCAGGGGGCGTGCAGGAGGCAGTCAATGGATATTGATGCTTCTCCCTCATCCATGTTTCTCTCCCCCCCTTCCTCTCTCTAAAATCAATAAAGCAAATTAAAAAAAAAAAAATCAGAGGAGAAACTGAGCCCAGAAAAAAGCTGAAACCTACATTCATACAAAGGCTGGGGGAGAGACGATGGACAGGGGACCCTAGTGGAGTAGGAAGGGCGGTCAGTGACCAGGTAGCAGAAACAGTTGTTAAGAAAGCCAAAGCCACCACCCAGAGGGAAGGACAGATGGATGGACAGCAGAGCACTAGGAGGAGACAGAGCCCAAGAGGGGCCCTGACCTACAGTGGACTGGCTGGGGACTGCGCTCCACTGTTGGCATTAGTGGGTCTCCCCCAACCCCACAGGTTTCATGCAGAGGTGTGTCTTTTAGGGAGGGCTGAAATCCTGCTGTTCCGATTTGATAAAAGAGGCCTTGGGGCTACCCTTGGCTCCCACACTGCCCACTTGCCCCCTCTGGTCTAGCGCAGAGGGGCCCAAGTGGGAGACTGAAAGACACAGAGGACAAGACCACGCACCAAGAGAGAGGCCGCAGAGAGGAGACACAAAAATGTCAGGACTCAGGGTGAGAAAGATCAGGATGGCTGGTGGGAAGGGAAAGAGAGAGCCCCAACATGAGAGGGAGGGCTTGGGGATAGACCCCAGGAGGGAGAGAAGAAAAAGGGGAGGCCTAACGGGGGAAGTGACCACTGGCCTCCTCCAGGACCAGGAGGGAAGAGAGGCCCCAAGGAAGGCTTCAAGTGAGCAGGGGCAGGCAGGCAGCTGGTGTTATTGGCTGGTGTTTGGGCCCATGTGGGGGTGTCCTTGGAACTCAGACAGTGAATTCTTGAGGCCTAGGATCGTGTCTATCCTGTAACCACAGCTCACACAGGGAGGGGCTGGCACCATGGCTGCCTGGCACTTCATGGGTACTCCAGATATTCACTGAATAAATGCCCTAATCTGTTATTGGCTACTCGGAATGGGGCCTGAAATGGGGTCTCTGGAATGCATGAGTCATGGTGGGGTTTCCAGTTTGTTATTTTGTGGCCGGGGGAGCTCACTATCTGTTGAGAGCGTGCTGTGCTAGGAATTGATCTCATTCAATACTCATAAGAACCAGCAGGACTGGCTTTAGTCCCATTTTACAGAACAGGAAACTGAGCTTTGGAGAAATTAAGTAGCATGGTCCAAGAAAGTCAGAGGAAGGTGGGATTTGAAGGCAGGCCTGCGTGGCTCTCCGGCAGCACATGCTGTGATTCTGACACTGACCTTGGTGGGGAGATGGGCACAGAAATTACCCTAACAGCCCCAAGGACCTCAAGTTCCTTGAGCAACCAAGGACAGGTGTGAAGACCTACTGTGCACAGGGCACTCTGCCAAGCCCTGGGAAGTGGCCAAGGACTCTCTGGCTCTAAATCCGAGAAATTTTCACAGTCTGGGTACAAAATGTCCCTCCTGTATCTATAAAAGTACCAGACCCTCTAGAGGAGGCAGTCGAACCCTTAGGGGGACTATGGACAGACTTCAGGGGGCCTGTGTCATTGGATGGGATAAAAACTACATCTTTATTTCCGTTATCCTCCAACTAAAATGCAACATTTCCTCAATTAAAAATGTGGGCCACAAACTACGCTAGTGTTAGCGAGACTGTGACTAAATCCCCAACAGAAATCCCAGACATTTCCATATCCCATCGCAGTGGCTGCAATTTCTCAAAATAGTGTTTTATGCTCCTCCTGCCCGAAATTGAAGTAGTTAAGATCCACCACCAGATCTGCTGGCTGCTGTGCTGACAAAAGGCACTGATATGACTATATCATAAATTCGCTTTTTAAAAATATTTTGATGACTGCATTTTGGTGTAACTGCTTCTTTTGTTACTGGATGTATTTTATCATATGCCTTTATAAGCATCATTCTCAGCACTATGCCAGCCTGCCAAAGGGGCCCATGCCCCCCCTTCCCAGATGCCAGAGAACCTAGATTTAGACTAAATGGCCTCTTGGTCACCAGGTGGTGGGTATGGCCTGTGAGAAGAGGGGTTCAGAGGTCAGGGTCAGAGAGCACGGCCTGGGCAGAGAAGAAAAAAGTGCTAAGAGAGAGGTAGGGCAGGGTGTGACCTCCACATGGAGTAGGGGAGTGGGTGGGGAGTGGGGGAGAGCTGGTGGGAGGGGCCAGCAGGGCCCCACCAGAAAAAGCAGGGCTGTGGCTGGACCATGGAGCTGGAGCCAGTGGCCTCACTCTCTGAGCCTCAGTTTTTCCTCTGCTACCATGCTCTCAGAGGATGCTTCTAAGGAATAAATGACATAACCCATGTAACACATAGTGTCCAAAATATGACCAACACCTGCTACACCTCACCTCTGTTATAGGGAAAAGCAGGCAGGGGCAAGGGAGAGAGCACAATTAATATTTCAGTAACCACCACTTGTTGAGCACCTCTCATTACGTGCTGGGCCTGTGCCAGGGATCTCCATCATGACATCGTTTACCTTCCCTGAGACCTTCGAGGTGGGACAGAGATGGACAGAGAGGGAGTGAGCGTGAGGAGCAGGGATGGAGAGTGGAGTGAAGGGACAAGAGAAACGGCTGGGGGGGGGGATAGGCAGAGAAGAAAGCAGGTCCCAGAGTGGGATGAAAGGAGTGGACTCAGGAAGGGTGGTGCCCTCCAGGGTGGGCGTTAAATACAGAAGCTCAGGAAGCGGGCAGTGTGCAAGGAAAGGGATGTTGGCTCTGGGTTGGCTCGTGTGTGCACCCACCAAGCTTCCCTCCCCCAAGACCCCAGTCCCCCAGACCAGGCCGCCTACCTCAGTGGCAAAGAAGCCTTTGGGCCGGTGTTTGCCCAGGGACGCCAGGCCACCAGGCCCAGGGCTCTCGCTGGCGCTGATGGTCTGCTGCGCCGCCGCCAGAATTTCATCCAGTTTGTCTAGGGGGAGGCAGAAGAGGGGTGGGGACACCTCGAAATGAAGACTGCTTTGGCCACGAGCAGAAACAGAGCTGCCCTAACCTTAACCCTCGTGGAGGCTGTGAGAACCAGAAAAGGGCACCCCTGTCGCCACCCCGGTGGGCAGGCGGCCCCGATGGAGACAGGATCTCCAGGCAGCAGGCGGGGCGGGCGATGCGAAGGAGTGAGGGCAGCGACCCCGACAGACACCGTGGGAAGTGGGGGCTTAGACTTGAGAGCTGGGGCAAGGCTGGTGTGAGGGTGATCAGCGGGCAGGAGGGGCAGAGTGGAC